TGTCCGCTTGTCAAAGAGTCTCAGACGCTAATCCCCAAATAATTAAATGACGTTTAACTCATATTTTTTGTGGGTGTTTGATCTCTCACTTGCTTAACATGGACATTCTTTTTAGAATAATTTCCTCTCATTCTCATGTGTTGCTGTCAATGTAGGTTTACCCCACTGACCTACACAAACAGGCACACACATGCGAACTACATGTCACACATACAGTAGATGCACAAAGCCACTCACTGAATGCACTGCCTCCTCCAGAAGGTGATTTCAGTCCTCTAGGGTATCAATCTACCGCAAGGGCTTGTGGTCCAAACAAAATCACTTAGCCTATATCTGAAGGGAACTGAGGAAAATTGCAGAGGAATCACACGGGATTTGTTCTGTAAATGGAAACCCAACCCTCAACACTTCATAAGTCTCTGTCTTTCCTCTCTTTCTCTCACACTCTCTCTCTCTCTCGCTCTCTCTCTCTCTCTCTCTCTCTCTCTCTCTCTCCTCTCTCTTGCTCTCTCTCTCACTAGTGTCTTGAACAAATCAATAAAAATGTCATTATGATCTTACAGCACATACATAAAAGCAATTTATGATCCACAAAGTGAAAACCAATTCCAGCAATAAATATTTACTTTGTGACTCTCTGATCAGTTTATCTCAAGCTTATTATGTAGTTGGGTTTTAGTGCACCTGCACAATAAAATGAAAAAAAAGAATCAAATATTTTACAAAACATTTATTTATATAACTTGTATAAACAATGTTTGCATGATTATGGCCACTTTCATATTTGTTATTTTGTATTATACTTGTGTGCTGGCTGGTTTCATCAGCAGGTATTTAAGGGGATGAGTTGTGCTTTCCTGACCTGACATGACATGACCTGCCATCATCACAAATCTGTTTGTCTATCTGCCCTCAGACCATCTCTGATAAGCCCATCCATCACGCATACCTTCACAAGAGCACTCCGTCCCACTCAATAACCCTCCATATATCCTTCCTAGAATTTATTAATATAACCCGCAGAGACCCAGCCCTCCTACGATGGGATGTGACAACCCTGACCGAGGACTGGCCTGCCCGCCTGACCTGTGTGTGTGGGGGGGTGTGCATTCACCTTATATTTGTTTGTATATGAGGACACACGTATAATATACAGCAGACTCATAATTATGTGTGTTTGTGCACTTGTGAAAATGTGGTATGAGAGGGAGCTTGAGGGCTGAGGTGGAGAAAAAAAAATCTGGGTGCACTGCATCTGCATCTGCTGAGAAGATATCTCTCCCTCCAGTATACTATCTTTCACTGCTTATCCATTTTCTTCCTTTCTGAGACATTTACCTCCACCTCCGTCCCCCACCTTCAATGAAGTCTTGCAGAGTCAGAAATGGCCCCAGCATCCACCAAGGCAGGAGGGGAGGAAATCACAACTAACCTTGCTTATCATATGCAAGCACACACGCACACACACATGCACACGCTCACACCACTTATTACAGCTTTCTCTTTCTTTAATGTGTGCAAGCTGAGCTTTATCTCTGTGCCATGTATAATGGCGCAGAGATGGTATCATCAGAGACAGGCCAGCTTGACTAAATGGGAGCGGCAAATTGACTGTAGTATTAGGAGAGAAGGGCCTCTATCAGGCAATCTGATAGGATCCCATTAAAGAAGGCTTGCAGATGAATATGATTAGCTTTTCATTCCTCCTAATGGAAACATCTTCTGAAGAGGGGAGGAGATGAAATGTTTTGTAGTGATAGGGCCTCTGTATCACTGATGGGATTGTTATTGCCTAATTTGGGTAGAAAGGCCATTAAAGTTCTTGGAAGGGACGATGAATGTTCTCTGTAAGTATACTCTCAGTTATGGCTATGGACCAGCGGTTCACTGTGTGTGGGCAGTGCTTTACTTTGTTGATTCCGAAAAACCACCCTCCACTTAAATGGCTTCATATTCGGCTTGTTTTTGCCGAAATTTGTGACTAATGAGTATGAGGTTTCATCTCTTGTTTCATATCCTTCACCAAAATGAACTGAATGGGTTTTTTGTGTGTTTTTGTGGTTTATGAGTGTGCTTGTGTGTCACCATCCTGCAGTTTTGCTATCTCCAACAGACTGTGACAGAAGTGCTTCATTAGATTATAAAACAACTATCATGAGCTTCTTAAGCAGATTATTGTTCATTTATGGAGAGCCTCTGGGGTACTGTTTGCCAAGTCCTCAAATAACAACCAGCGTTATTCTCTGTGATCTGTCAAAGTGAATGAATTTGATGAGTGATATATAGAAACATGTTTCTAGATATGACTTGGGAGAACATTTAAAGTATTGATATGGTTCTTCTAGCTGTTTTTTTTTTTTTAGCTTTATTGATAGAGACAGGGAAGGTTGGTGGAGAGAGAGGAGACGACACGCAGCAAAGGGCCACAGGTTGGATTCAAACCTGGGCCGCTGCAGCAACTCCGTATATGGGTCGCCAGCTCTACCGACTGAGCTAACCGGGCGCCCCTTCTAGCTGTTTAAAGTCGTTACTACACAAATGGCCTCACCCTCATTTTGTTAACTTGCTATGAAGCATGCTGCTCAAAGAAGACAGAGAGTAACACAGCAGGAGACATTTATGAATATTTCTGTTTTTAAATATAGTAATATTTACAACTCAACATGTACAGACTGGTATATGTGTGAGAATGTGCACACATATGTATAAGAGTCGTTATAGTCAAATGTTCTTGGCACCAGTAATAGTTGCAAGGCCCTTTTAATATACATATACAGATGCATCAGGGGACCAATGCCAAATGGTATTTTATCTGTGTGTTGTTAGTATCCATGTGAAAATGTGTCCATCTGCGACACAATTGCTTACAGTGCTGATGAAATATTGGTGGAAAAGAGGGATTTCTTGGGAAGAATTACACAAAAACCATTGGGCGATTGAACGGTACATGTGGTTTTCCAAGCTAAAACCAATGCAGTCTAATACAACAGTCTCACAATAAATCCTAATGATGTAGTTTATGGTGCTGTTGGGTTGTATTGCATCATTCCGAGAAGTGTTTATCATATTTTCTACTCACACACTAAAGAATCACCTCACGATATAAGTAGAAGTATATACATTTTATCAGCAAAATGTATGAAAGTACTAATTCTCACTCACTCTTATGCAGGGGAAATGGTCTTTGTCAGTGTTACATTATACTGTTGGATTATCAGTACAGATTCATTAACATGTAAGCAGCATTTTAATGTTGTAGCTGACTGTTGTAGCTGGTAATTTTATCAATTTTATACACTTTTGGGTGGTTTAATTCATTGTATAACAATGTATTTCATTTTATATGCTCATTATGGGGTTTTAAAATGATCATCTGTAAATGAACTAGTAAGTATGGCTGCCAAATAAATGCAGTGGAGTAGAGTAAAGTAGCATAGAATTAGAATACTCAAGTAAAGTGCAAGTACTTAAGACAACTGATGTATATGCAAAACTCTGCACTTGGCATACAGTGTCCCGCTGTTTGAATGTGTTGTTAGTAGTATATGTGTTTGATTCCAATTATGTGTAACCTCTCTGTAATCCCACATATCTGTGGTTTATTCACACTGCAGCTCACTCACACAACTATATCTCTCAATTTCCACTGCTTCTGACACGTCACATTGCTTTCGGGGTTAGTGTGACAAGATGGAGAAGAGGCATATTCCCCTTGCAACATTTTGTTGCTGTCTTTCTGGCTTTGCTTCTGCCGCGACTTTTCCTTCCAACGACTCAGCGCCAACCAAACTGCAAATTTGCAGACATGTTCACAGATGAGTGTGCCCATGGATCATTATCTAATTTCTCTGTTTACCCAAGAGAATCTGTAATATGCACACGTTATGTGCTTCTCTGTAATTTTACAGTTTGAGATGGGGATATTTTGTAGAACTTTCAATTGTAGAGATGTAAACTTAACTATGATTGGCAATAACAACTTACAGCTAAAAAATAAGCTACATCGTGAGTATACTGGCCACAATGAGGCTGTTAATTAATTAATTTGATGAATACAAAGGAAAATGTTTACTAAGAAGGTAATTCTTGAGGCTAAATTATTTTAATTGTGAATTACATTGTTTGTTTGTACAACTCACTATGAAGGGCAAAAGATCAGTGTTCAAAATGCTAGCTTGCAGACGTATAAATCTTTCCACAATCAAGCTGGAAGCTTAAAGGCTTTTTGTTTAAGGTTTATTTGTAGTCAGACTTGGAGTCAGTTCCAATAAATTCGATAGAACTTCTTGTTTAGCTGGAAAACAAGAACAAATTACCTGCACTTTTTACTTGTGAATAAGAAATGAACACCATTAGAAATAAAGGTTGTTTTTCCAACTTAAGTCCTGCTCTTTTAGCTTTTGAATTTCTTCTCCTCTGTCTTCTTTTCCTTCCACTGTTGATTTCGGGCAGTGTGGCTTCTTCCTTTGGAGAAAAAAAAGACGGGGGTTTAATATAGTTATTGTAATTGTGTTGTCTGTCTTTGAACTCAAGACGAGATTGCTTTTGACTTGCAAATATTTCAGATTGAATTGAGCTAAATGACTTTTGGGAAATGTCTCCGGCATTCACGTGTCCTCCTCTGTCTCTTCTCTAAAGGTTAATAGTATCTGCTCTCAGTGAATGAGTCAGTGGACTTTACTGTGCCATTCAGTGACATAGGAGGTTTGGTGGGAGTCTCTTTCTCCCTTGGGGTGGGATAGAGTTGGCAGGTCAAGCTTTATTCTAGTGGGTATAGACACATACAGCAAGCAGAAGAATAAAAAGAAAAATGAAAGCCTTGCGCAAGTGAAATGGACAGCAAGTGTGTGTGTGGGGGGGGGGGGGTGTCTGCCCGCCTGCGTGATGTGAATGACCTCCAATGACTAAGAGGTTGAGCTACCACAGACAAATTTTTATTAAATGCATAATAAGATGTTTCACTAAATTTATTCTCTCTTTCTCCTTGTCACCTCTCACAGGTATGGAGACATGGTTCCAAAGACGATTGCAGGGAAGATCTTCGGCTCAATCTGCTCTCTGAGTGGGGTGCTGGTAATTGCCCTGCCTGTCCCTGTCATCGTGTCCAACTTTAGCCGCATCTATCACCAGAACCAGAGAGCAGACAAACGGCGGGCGCAGAAGGTACAGGTGAACACAGTTTTATTTCCCTTCAACTGGTACCCAGAGGGTTGGACCTCCAGCCCAGAGGGGAGCTTTGACGTGTCTCTCCCCGGAGGAGAGGACTCCACAGGGGTCAGGTCATCCCTAAGACTAATGATGATGTGTGTATAATGTACATTGACTTACATTCACATTAACAGCAGTGTGTGATACATATTCAGTGAATATCACCATACCTTAATGGACCTTTTCCCTTAACATGAATATCTAAACTCTGACCTTCCAGTTTTCCCTTTGCTCTGCATAAATATGAATCATTTATTTTTCAGATAATACTGGTACCTTTCCTACAATGTCTCTGTGTGCAGCTGGGAATGTAATTAGCTAGGTTAGCCTAGTGTATCTCAATTCCCAGTGGAATCAAGAGGCAGCTCCTGCCCAAAGTAAGGAAATTCACCATGAGATCTAGATTTTTTCAATATAGGGATTTTTGTAACTTCTTTCTAATTAGATTGTGACAATAAGCGATGGGGTCTTACATGAAATCAAACATTTCAGTCAAAGTTAAAATAGTTTTTGTTATTTCACAAGAGATATTTCTATTCTCAGACCCTGGGTTATTTGATGGCTGTCAATTTAGTCTTGCGAATATTTAATGTCATGGAGAAAAATGAAATAAGCTTGCTGCTCAGTAAAAAACTCTTATTACTATGTAAACTACCAACATTTTCACAACCTAAATGTTATTAATTCCCCCAAACCTAGTTAAAAACCCAAGGCATAATCCTGAAATAGCCCTTCAACGAAGCAAAAATCAACAATTTCCCTTCTTCACATGGTTTTCTTTGTTGGTCTGTGCTTGTGTGGAGATGTTATCCTTGTATTTGCTCTCCTTGTAAGTATAGCAATAAAAACCCACACAGGCGAAAAACTTGTGTTTAAACTGCGGAAGATTTAAAGATCCTATCTTCCTTTGGGTAAATAGCCCAGCCGTTAGACCTTTAAAGAATCATGTTGTGTTGTGTCCATGAGCCAATCTGGGTAGCAGCATCAGCTGGCGCACATACAGAACTGGACTGGTAATCATAGTTTGAGGGCAAGCCTGACAGTTTTTGTTCTCCTGAGAGAGATAGTGTGTTTGTAGTTGAGCTGGCAGACGTGCACACACTGACACATATTTTCAGAGTCCATTCCTCTCTCTCATCACTCTCGTTCACACCTCTCCTTGCAAGTCTTTTTTCACTCCATTTTCTTATTTCTTCTCCTCCTCCCTTATTCTTACTCAACTCCCCTCCCCAAACTACTCTATGTCTCACCATCTCTGTGATTACTGCTATCCATCTCGGCACATGCTCTCTGGTTGTAGTTTAAATCGGTTTAAAGTCCTGCAGTTTGACCGTGGCCTGACCGCTGCCCAGTCTTAACTAACTGTAACCTTGTCTGCCAAGCAAGACTCCGGTGTACGCAGCCAAGTGTGCGGGGAGGAAAAGACACACAGAGGAGACGGAAACAAGGGTCGGAAGGTTGGGGGAAATTATCTAGATTGAAAACCGGTTGGAACCGATGAGATGTATAGTGTTGACGCAGAAGAGAGAGAGGAGAGGTGACGAGGAAAGCCAGAGGGAAGGAGGGAGCAGGGGAGGAAGGGGGAGAGTAGAAAGGGGGGAGAGCTGGAGGCAATGTGTGTCCTAATGCTGTGTTCTTTCCTGAAATAACCATCACCCAGATGAGGTGCTGGCTGGAAGGAAGGTGTGCGTCTGTCTATCTGCTTGTGTATGTATGTGCATCTGTTTAAGTGTGTGTGTGTGTGTGTGTGTGTGTGTGTGTTTGTCCGTGTGTGTGTGTGTGTGTGTGTGTGTGTGTGTGTGTGTGTGTGTGTGTGTGTGTGTGTGTGTGTGTGTGTGTGTGTGTGTGCGTCCTCCGTACTTCCTGTCAGTTAAGGCCCTGCCCTTGGTCTATTCCACCTTCCTGTGTGTTCTCCACTGAGCCGCAGTGTGGTGCAGTGTCCCAAACACCACTCGGTACCAGACGCCGACACCTCCAAGAAGTACCCACCAACTGACCAGTGTAGCGTGACGGTGCTGTCGTCATTAACCAGTGCTAAATGATTCCCTCGAGCACTCAAATGCCTCCCTGGCTTGCCTGTGGTGAGGTCAGCGATTTGCTCAAGCACCCATACATCCAACGGATATGTTTTCTATTTCATAACATCATGACTCAAACGCCTTAACATTACCTTCATAATAATATTACACCTGGATGCCTTGATCCTTAAGAGCGTTATTAGTACGGAAAATCAAGGTCTGACTGCCAAGTATGATGATAGGTTTGCAAATGTGATATTTTAGAGCATTTAGGAGATGCAATCTGTGTACCATCTCTGTCTTTAATTAGCCCACAGGATTAAGTGTTGCTTAGCATCTAAGCTTGTGTGCTTAAGACCAGTGGAGTGTGTCTTGAATTACATATTGTGCTAGCTTTGGTGCTAAATGCTGTGGAGATTATCTGGTTTCATTAAAAGAGTATTTCACCTTGCAACTCTTTTGAGCCATGCTAGCAACATGGATGGCAATGTCTGTCTGTCTTCGCCTTTGGTCCAGACTGAAATATCTTAACAGATATTGGATGGATTGTTCTAACATTCAAGGTTCCAAGAGGACAAATCCTGATGACCTTTCCACTAGCACCACCGGTAGTTTCACATTTGTAGTTCAGAGTGAAATATCTTGACAACTATTGGATGGATTGCCATGTAATTTGGCACATATATTGCATTATATTATACCCATGAACATTCCCATCAGCCTCAGCTGTACTTTGTGTTTAGTGCTACTTAGCAAATGGTACTACCAACAGCATACTTTCAGGCTAAACTAAAATTAAATTAAAAATTAGTAAACATCGAACCTGCTAAACATCTGCATGTTAGCATTGTTATTGTGACTGTATGACCATGCTCACGTTAGCATTTAGCTCAAAGCACTGCGGGCCTCAGTGCAGCCTCAGAGAGCTACTAGCATGGCTTTGTAGCAACTGCAATAGATTTCACTGCCTTTTATAACTTTTGCTGGCGTGATCATCTCATTACATGTTCCATCACATTAATTTCATGTTCTTTGACTCTAGGTTGTCAGTCTCTCACACTATAAAAGATCAGTGTAGAGAGTGTATGATAGAGTCATTACCATTGTATGGTCCACTCTTTCCCTGCTAATGACAGCTGCGATCTTTTATTGCCTCACCCGAGCCATGAATTACTCAGGCATGCTATATCCCTCAATACCCCATTACTACCATCTACATAACATGTGTTCTTCAATGCTCCATAACCTTAATGACATATGACCTTTTCAGCCATCAAGACAACCATTTAGCAAGTGTCACTGGTCATTTACCATAGCTAAACGTCATTTGTTCAGCATTTATTACTGGCACATGGTTATATTTCACAGAAAATCCATTCTTCCTCAGATCATTTCTTAGAATAAGGCTATGTTTAACTGAGAGTAAAATAGGATAGCCAGTCAAGATTGCCTTTCACAGTAGTTAACTGATGAGGGGAGACCAGAGACGAGGAAAGCAAGAGGGAATTATTGAGGAGAGGAAGTACAACATCCCTCAGCATTTACAAGCCACCTCTCTTTTCCCCCTTTTTCTCTCCTTACATGCTTTTCCCCTCCCTTGCTACCCCCCATTCACATCCATCTTCATTCAGGTCTAATTGTTAGCTGTTCTGGGCTCCCATTACAATTAGCCATCCATCTGGGTGGTGGTAGAAAGGCAGCCCCTGATCTATCTCACTGCACAAAGGAAAGATACATGAGGATGCCACCAGTTGCTGTGTGGCATAGGAGGAACACACAGGTGGGACACAGACAGATATTCTCTATTTGGCCTCCCCATAGTCTTCAGTGTCGCTACTTTTGTTCTACAATGAATTGAACACTGAGTTTAAGTCCTCCCTTATCTTTACACATGATTCCATAAAGTGATCTGAAACAAAGAGTCCAATCTGCAGGGGTTACTCTTTAGTTGCTCCTCAGAGCTTATTTGCATAAAGGTAATAATATCCTCAGGTAGGCCTAATTACAAATTCTCAATTGTACCCCTGAAAGAGGGCAAGATTTAAATGGAGAATTACAAAGGGCAAGTGATACAGAAGGATTAAAAAGTGCCTATGGTATTCTCCTGGATCTTCTTTCTTAAATAACCACTTTTAGCCTGACACTTAGGTATATACATGCAAACTGCAACAAAAAGAGATTCATTCTTAAGTGGCGCATATGAGTGATTTAAGAATGAAATTCAAGCATGGTCCAGACCTATGTTATGCGTCATGTACAGAGAATCTCCTTGTTTACTAAAGAAACAAAATGCATCAATCTTGAATCTGGAGTTCAAATATGATACTAAAATCTACTAAAAATCTACATCTTAATGCAAAATTAATATTCTGTTCACCATATCATCATAATCATAACTCCCCAACGTACTTAGAGGTTTTTTTAGATTTTGTGATTTTATTGGAATATTTTGGCATCAGACAGAGCAGTTCACTGACCACTGGATTGCACACTAGAGCACCATCTCAGACCAAAACAATGGTTTGGTCGAAATAAACTCTTAATTTGCAAAGTTATATGAGAAAATATTCTCTATTCTTCTATATATACGTAATGTTAATCCTCTGGGACAAATGCCCCCGTCAAAGTACATCCACTAAAAGTGCTTGTTTTTGCCATACTGAGATTGTTATGTTAAACGTCTGAAAACAAGCATCCCTATAGGGATAGACCATCGGTTTAACCACTCCAGAGACTAAAACTGCAATTTTACCTTGTATATCATAACTTTCTCATAGTGGACAGAAACAAAATAAAAACTCACCAAATCAGTCTTTGGTAGTCTTTCCACTGGTCCAACAAATACAAACTCTGCTTTGGTCAAAATAAATCCTTAATTCACAAACATAGATGAGAAAAACTGCAGTTTCAGTTGCTCTACTCAGCTGCACACGGAGCAGACTG